CTAATGAAAGTTGGTTATATTCCATTTCTTTTTAATTACTTAATGTATTATATATCGATGTGTAAAGTTTGGCAGATAATAATAAAACGAACCACATGAACATTTGGCTCGTGATAAAGTCAGTGGCATTGTACCAAACCGGATTTCAAAGATTGGTAACGCCAAGTTCGTTCCAAGTATTTGACAATGTTTAACGAGAAGTATCTAAAATCTCTGAGTCATAATGAATTTAATACAAAATATAAACTGGTTATAATTATCTTTTTAATACTTACGTAAGCAAAACGGCAATGAATGACTCTCGATGAATTCTCTGCTCTTTAATTCGATCGAAAAAATCTACCTGTATTAATTTTTTTTACCCAGTTTCGAATACTAATAACATTACCGTGTTTTGTAAAAACTTCAAACTATCCAATAATCCTATCAAAATTAAATTCCAATCAGTTCAATCATTAATTTAGTATTAGATTGAGTACATATTTTAGTAACCAAAATTATGTCCAATAACTACGGATTAATCAAAAATTTAAGTTCATTAGCTTTTCAGAAACCGGATATTAGTCTTACATTGCGTATATTTCATTGAAGGAAGTAGATTTCGCACACGAAATGTCATCATATTGGTAACATGACTGTTTTAATTGTTAATTAATATGACTGTTCCTTTTGGACCACAATAATTTTCCTTTTAGACCATTTTGGTTTCCCAAAGACGTCTATCCCGGTTTCTAAGCACATGAATTGCAATAATTAATCATTGCAACATACCTTGTATTAAAAGTCATGAATTATGAAGTCATTCAGTTGGTTAAGAAAAGTCAATGATTGGATCATGAATTACTTTTAAATTAATAATGCATATATTCTTTCAGAAACATTTTTAAAACTTTGAAGATTTAAAAATTTAAAATCTGTATGGTTTTGTATAACCCTCAGACTGATAAAAAATTGGTGCAATTGACAATCTGTAGGTGACATATTTGGAACAGACAAGCTTCACAGCTTCACAGGAACCTTCGCTTCGTTATTACTAACGTATCTTTACATTGTGTGCATATAATATGTTTTTTGTATACAAGAATCGCTTTGGATTATTAAAAAAAGAAAATAGATAAGATAAGATTTTTATACAACATATCTTTGTTAAATCGTTGAATATCAGTATTTGCTCTGGATTTTTTGTTTACTTTGAGGCGCCTGTTGTGTCGATTAGCAATGAATTGCATGAGTCATAATTATACAGTCGGATTTTATAACTGGTTTCAATTAGAAGTCACGTTGCGTACTTTCTCTGTGTTCCTCATTGTGTATGTTATCATACGGGTCGCCGATAATAAATGTATGACGCATTTATGTTGTTTTTTATTGTTTTATGTTTGCAATGTAATACACGAACCCTTTTGTATGTAGTAAACCAATTAATGATCTTAACACATTAAAAGATTACACTATTTAAGTAATCATTAAACAGTACTGAGCGTGGTTTGAAGTTCAATTATTTAAAACAATAAATAGTGTGCATTTGTAGATACGTTAGCTTTTTTAATTTATCTTATATTGATATTGACACGAGTATTTATCCTATACTCTAAAATGAAACAGCTTAAAGGTGACAGACAAAACCCAAATAGGATACTGCGTAATAAACAAGCGACGGAATTAATGAACGGACGTATGTGTGGGTGATGTATGTATGAATATACGTATATTTGTGCTTATGTGTATACGTAACCAAGTCGAACGTTTACTCATAGGTATGTAAACAAAGAAGATACGTTGTGACCTTCGATTTCGTCACATTCGAATAACAACGTAGCGCTTGTCTTATGAAGTGTACATACTTACTTATTCTGCGCAATATTAGATAAGTCTATTTGGAATACTTTGTGTCATAATGGTTTGTTTTAGTCACGCTGACAACCAAAATATATAAAATTCTAGGAAGTGATAGAATGGCGCGTAGCTATCAGCACAGACGGTGGTCAGCTGACGGTTCATTGGCCGTACTTGTGGCGCGTTTGCACCGAGTAGTGAGGAGCTCTGGCTTCAGTGAGCGTTTTAGCATCGATCTGAGCGGTATATTAGGTATTTTAAATTAGCTATGTAATTGCTTAAATCAATTGTTCGGTTTAAGTTCGTCGCTATTTAACTTTATTCTAGAGTCACATTTGTAATCATGATTTTCTTTTTATACAATTTTTAAAGATTTACTAGCGGTCATTTGCGACTTCGTCAGCACAGAAAAAATAAGTAGTCTATAATAACCCGCGTGCGACATCAACCTTCCCATCCCAGTCCCAACAAAATCCGTCCAGTTGTTCTGGAATTTACCCGGAACAAACGCAGCCTTGCAGACAGACATACCGATAGACAGACAAACAATTTGATAATTGTTTTTCTACTCTGTCTGTTTGTTTTTCTATCTACGCATCTATACATCATGTATACGAAATATATTTTTTTACGATGATTCATACGTGCGCTACAATTTTATTAATATGTATTGATGTCATATGGAAATAAAGGATTTTATTGCTTATAAAACTTATTTATCAATGGAATGAAATAAAGCGTCGCAATTCCGAGTCATAAGGAGGCGTGTAAATGACGTAAACAAATCGTCAGACGAATGTGGGTTTGCAATTATATAACAAAACATAGTATTCCGTTAGTCATGGGCTTCGCGTCATGAACGTCATTCACTAAATTAAAACAAACTCGCATCGAAGCGTCGGTACAAGGAATATGAGGCGCGTTTCTACAAACTCGTTAATATGCACGTGATCGCTTATATTCAAACGTCTTATATCTAAGATGAGTTTTTTATACAGACTATTTTGCAGAAGTTATTTTTATTTACATAATCGGCATAAATAATTTTAGCTTGAAAAAATTATTTTAAATATAACGAACTAGATTATATTCTGGTGTCGACTAATAACCAAAATTGAACTGATAATCATCGTTTAAACAAAAATGGCAAATCTTATAAAAATTATCTTATATACTTTATAACATGAGATGATTTTTTATTTACAGTAATATCGGTCCGTTCTAAATGTAATTACAATTTAAAGATTTAGCTCTAGCTATGCCGTTTTATTACACAAACACGTATGTTTAAAGTCGTAATTAAAATGGTAATAAAATAGTTAGAAACTCCGATGTCTTTTAACTATTTTAGCCAAGGCAAACTCTGACGTCTGCTTCCGCGTACATTAACCCGAAACCGTTACGTTATTACTAAAACTTCAATGGCATTCGTATCCTGTGTTCATTGGTAGATATTATTTGACATTTAATATGATTTACAACAAAACTTAAGAAGATTCTTAATTTTCAAATCATCTTGAGTTTTCAAATGTTGAAGAGTGAAACGACGCAGTTAAAAGAATATGTACATACAATACAAAATACTCGTACTTTCAAAGCTTGTCCCAATACCTGATTATCATATGGGTAAGAGGCAGGTATAAATACCTTTTAAAACTCCCGCGACTTAGACAGCGCGAAATGAAAATAAGGTTATATTATGCCCGCAAGCATCACCTTCCTTCCCGTACATGTTCCGTCAAAATTAGTTTTGTAGTTTCAGAGATTACCCGGTACAAACGCGGCCTTGCGTACAAACAAAAATTGGTTTTTCATAATCACCTACACAAACATATCATGTGTTCGAAATAGTATATACATATAATTACATCTATGTCTGTATGTAATGCCGAAAAAAATATTTCGTACACATCAAGTATTTGCGTAGCAGATAACGAAAAATCAATTTTTAAAAATGTTGACTGTCGGTGTGTATGTTTGTCCGTAAGGCCGCATTGATTCTGGGTACTTTAAACATTTTTTTTTAATTTTACGCTGACGAAATCGCGCGCGACTGTTAGTTTATTAATAGGTATAGGCTGTTTTTTTTTTAATTCAAATAAATTTAAGTGTTTGTTTGGATGTTTCGATAAGAGTTGAATGACAACATTGTTGGGGCGACGAGGACGGTCAAATTCATAAATATTCAAGTACCGTGCCAGAAGTGATAAAATTAGTAGACTACGACTTGTAGACATTCCTACTTCCTGTTATCGTGGTCTTCAACTGACAATAGACTTGCACAAAAACATATCGCCTACCTCACTGCAAACAACCTATGTTTTTATACAGTAGTTTCAGCAGTCTATAAATGATGTTATTTTGAACACACATCGGTAGTTTATGCCCAAATAGGTATAATTCCAATTGATATTATTAAGAAGAGACAATTTATTTGGAAAAGCAATAAATTTAATTTATAGTATAGACTAGGAACAACAATTATAAAATTAGTTAATAATCATACATCGATAGTTAAAGGCTTATAATTTATAGTTGCCCATGTAAAGATTATAAGCATACGAAATACATTACAATATAATACTTTTAGGATATACAATTTTACGATATAATTTTATATGAGACAACGATTCAAACAATCGTTCGTAAAATGTTTTAGATAAAGCTATGCTTGTTATAAATTTCACAAGACGATGACAATTCTTTAATATAATTTCATTTTCATTTCACACACCGAATGGCTTAAGGTCTGTTGACTTTTGTAGCATTCGTTGCGTTATATTTGGCCCGTTCACGTACCGACACGTATTACCGGTCCAAAGGTCTGACATCAAATGACTCCCTCTCACCGGCACGTACTTATGGCTTGTACGCTCGAGACAAACAACACTACATTTATGCATACACTACAATTTTTGAAATATGTAATATGCAAATTATAATTATTACTGTAAATAGAGATTATGATTACTGTAATGTCGACTATGACATAACGTTTTAACATTCTCTCTGATAACCGTTTTCACTGCCGTTACTTAAGTATAGAAACATATTACTATCCTTTTTTTAAATCCGCGATAAACATGTTTAGTTTTATTAAAATGCTACGGCGTTAAAATTTCACAGTCACAGATGAGAAGAAATTTTCCGCAAACTATAAAAAATATTGTTTGGATACCAATTACTTTGGTGTGAAAATCTTGTGGTCGACATGATTTTATTTAATTCTGTTAGTTATCGATCAAGCAAAGAAAATTGATTTGTTTTCAATTCCTGCAACATTATAACTATATCGTAATAAAAGCTTCAACAACTTAAGCTAACATTAAACCCTAAAATACTGTAAGGTGACTATGTGGTCGCTGTTTATTTCTTTAGAAGAAATCACCTCGGCGCGTACGCTTCTTTAAAGTGTTGGATGACGATTCCTATTGCCTGTGGTGAACAAGCTATGCCTGTGCTATAAGTTTTCATACAGCCGTATCGCTGGAAGCATTCCTTCTGGACGTCCTTCGAGAATCTACAGCACAGGAGGATGGCAGCTTCGCAAACGCCCGGGGTCTTTTTCGGCTTGGCAGTGGTCGTGGATATTGGCGTTAACTGCAAGGAAAAGATATTATTTTATAAATGCTGCATTTAAATGTGTATAAAGCGTAAAGCACTTATCAAGATGTCCAATGAGTTACAAAGTTAAGGGTAGTATGTACAGCTTGAGCAGGAAAATAGAAAACCTTACCATATTGCAGTTTTAAATTAACGTACAAATTGTTATTAATATAGAAAAAAAGAAAAAACTATACCTGTACAGTTTTAAGAAATAGTTTTTTTAAGCGCATGCATACCTTTATTGTTATTATTAATACAAGTAATTTGAACATTTTGTAAGGCTTATGATCATGCTAAAATAAATTCACTGAAAGAAAATATTATTAGCACACAGTAGAAAAGAAACAAATTAATATTTCTATTCTATGTATAGTTAAAAAAAAAAACAAAAATGTCTAATGATCTAAAGTTACAACTACAATATTTTGGTGATATATAAAATCCAGAAGCAAATATATTATTGTAAGAAAAAACCTATATCACATAATAAATAGGAGTTAAATTGTTGAAACTTAAAATTATAATGGGTTAGGCATATAACTTCATGCTGTAAAGTTTACTTCAACTCAATATCTAAACTATCTTATTAATCTTACTTCTTACTAATATTAAAAATGTGAATGTTTGGATGGATGAATGTTTGAAGGTATCACCGGAACGGCTGAACGGATCTCGATGAAATTTGGCATACATATAGGACATAATCTAGAAGAACATATAGGCTTTATTTATTTATTTAATTCCGCACGGACGGAGTAGCGGGCGTCAACTAGTGTTACTATAAAATATTTGCGAAAGCTGCTTTTGTTCATATATTTTTGTTTGTTCAATTACCACAAATTGCTGATGATGAATAAGAGACATTTGTTTGTTTATAAAATGTAGAAATTGAGTTGTAATAAACTATACTAAATTACACATACTAAAATATTAAAGTAATGCACATTTTCTAGTTCCATTTGAGAAACAAGACGTAGTATGTAGTGTATGACGTAGTAAGTATACTATGAGTTTCTTAGACCGAAATCCCCGTTCAAAAATAATATCGCCCCTAATATTGTCAAAGACAGCGATGACAATTTGTTGTACACAGAGATTTTGGTCTCAGAAACCCACGGTTAGTCGTCTTGTTTTTCAAATTGCTTAGAACAAGATTATACTAGTTTTAATAACAGCAGTTAACTTACCCCGGCTTGTACACTGCCATGCTCGACGGGCGGAAACGGTTTGGATGGTGTGTTTGAATCGACGGGTTTGAATGAGATTGGCCTTCCTTCGTCTTCTTCATCCTCCTCAATCGTATTTATATTATTATTAGATTCACCCCCTAATCTGTTGTCAAGGTTGGGTAAATTATTCGCTTTGTTACAAGAACATGATGGTTGTGGGACGACAGGGTAGGGAACGACTTGAATGTAAATTTGCTGAGGTTGATTACCACCGTATGCGGGACCGAATTGCCATTGGCGATTTTTAATGATATCATGTAATTCGTTTATTTGCTGTCGAATGTCATGTAGTTGTCTATTATCATAATAAAACCTAGGCGAGAAATTATCGTACCGATCAGATATCTGTCTTGAATGTCTCCTTCTTTGCCGTCTGTGTTGTCTATTTTGTGCTGTACTGTGGTCTAATTCTTTGTTTTCATCAAATGTTGAAAGATCCGTTTCGCTGTAATTCGGTCGTGCACTAGTTGTTGCTACGAAGACCACCAGGCCGAACAAGAGCAACGCTACTGACGATTTCATCTGTAACAAAATAAACATTTATTAGGGCACAGTTTGATTATATATTTTTACGTAATGCGGGGATTCGCTGCGAACGGAATAACGACTTATGAAGATGATCGGATGGTGTAAAGCAAGCGTGGCGCGGGAATTCAGTTGAGTATTATACTTAAGTAAGGAATATGGCACAAAGGGTGCTAATTAAAAATATGCATACTATAATAACAACCGAGTTATTAACTAATGAAAATGAGCCCTTAAAATCAAAAGCTATTAAGATCGTAGCCCTACTATTTCTGGACAGCCATTGGAAAGGAAATCGATCGTACGACCAATCGGGTATTACTAGGTAAGTCGCCGATAAACAGTAGGCTATTTAGTATTAGATAATATTTAGATTTCTATGGTTATTTTTAATTGGAAACTAAAAATTTTACTGATTAAAAAAAAATTGATGTTACTTATTGTTGTGTGGTATCGCGCATAACAAGAAGGATGAAACATGCATTCCTTTTGTTGTGGCGTTCTTCTAAATGAGAAAAAGTGGTCAATCAGGTTGATTTCTATTGACTAAAGCGTCTTCAAAAGATTGTATTGTTAGCAAGCATATCCAGTATATAGGTATATTTGTTCTTCTATAAAAGATAGATTGATTGCTTAGTAACTACATTGAATGCCAAATTTAATGGAGAATGAATTATTATTTATTTGGTGATTTTATTTGCCTGGAGCAGTTTTATTTTATATGAATCTAATTAGTTATTAAATTGAATATTCAACCGACATTGTAACCGAAGGATAGACTAGTAACCACTGGGATGCCGGTAAGTAGTTAAAATAAACGTCAAAATTACACAAAATTCGCGAAAATTACGTATTTCTTTATTAAAAGTTCTTTAAAAAATACTTAGGTTATAATTTATTTTGGCACACATGTTTCGGTAGTGTAAACTTAATTAAATAAAGCACTTAACTCACCTTCGTATTGATATTTTATTTCTATCGGCTAAAATCAAATTTTATCTATGATATCACACTCAACTTCAAATGCCAAGTTTATTTTTATCGTATGTCTGTTATTTATTCACAAAACTAACAAATACGATTTTAAAAACTGTACAAAATGTGCGCGCGCGTGCGTCCAATGCGACGCTAAACGAAAGACTGGTTTGCTTCTACCGGTTATGCCAATATTATATGGTATCGCTATATATATGCTACGTACTTTGATAAGGAGAGCAATTCTTATTTCGCGGTAATTTCCGCTTTTCCGGACTTAAGATGCGTCTGCTCGTCAGTCGGATGTTAGGATTGGCTCGTGCAGTTACCTCACACTTACTTCATTTTATTTTTAATTTTTTCAATATTAATATTCTAGTTAGGGTTACGAAATTTTATAGGTTATTTTATACCGCAAGATATTGTTATAACTTTTGTATAATTGTAAACTATAGATATGTATTCATAAGACATCTACATATTGCGGTATATTCTTGCATGAAGTTTTTATTATGTCAGAATTTGTTTTGGTTTTGCTTGCAACATTTCACGTTCGTAATTTTTTTTTGTTTTGTAAAACAGTGTGAATTTTATCTTAAATATGAATAATCACTTTAACAAAAAACTTTATTTTAAATACGATTACAACGGGAGTATAAAAAAAACTTTGAATTCCCGAATATATCAATATCGATGTTAAGCGTACATCAGAATATAAAAGTAAAATTCCAACAATAATAAACAATTTACTTCCTGATATTAATAATAAAGTATAAGAACTGAAAAAACATACTCACAAAAATTATATTAACTGTTAAAATTGTATATATTTTGCTGCTTTTATATAATTCGAAAAATAAATATTTAGGATTACACTTCACCGCAAAATTGAAGCAAAATTTAAACTATAGCGACGGTACTGACTCATAAATGTTTTTAAAATATTTGATAAAAATGCATTTAAAAAATCAGACAATAAACTAATCCTTTTTATTATTATTTCACTTTTTTATCTAAGAATTTTTTTTGCTATTAAATAGGTAGAAAAAAAGAGAAACGGCTTTTTAAAAATAATTAACGAGAAAGGACAGTCATATCATTTATTATCTTAATTACTTATACATATTATTTATATGTTGACCGAAAACATTGCAACCTTTTTTGAGGAATTTTCGAGAACGTATATGTATAATGAAAAGAAAAATGCATTATGAATTTTCAAATTTCGAATAATAAACGACCAGTAGTCCAAATAAACTCTTCACTAAAATATTTTTCAAAGTTGAAACCAGACTTCAGACTTAATTTAAACGTTAACTCAAAAATAGCCTCCTGGAAGTGTGATGTAAGTGTTATTCTTGAAAGTTAGTCAACAATATTTGTTCGTAACAACTCATATTTTGAATCTGTTTTGTAAGGAATACGTGATTGTATGCAACTACGCAAATACACTTTGATATTTGGTGTTCAGATACACTGAACCGTTTTTTTAATGCTCAAAAGCGAGTGCTCATAATTTTAAATGAAGGGATAATTCTCAGTAAGAATCAAACGATGAAAACTACGAAGTTAGTAGCCTTTTAATATATACTTAAATTATGTAAAGCAAAATTCCTTGCTTGTTTTAGTCGATGTGACGTCAACAATGTTTCCCTGCTCTTAAGTGAATCCCAATTCCCTCAAAACGAATTTGCGGCGTACTTAAATATAATAAAACTGCTTGCAAACCATGATATGAAAGTAAATACGGTACCTGTTCATACAATCATAAGATTTACAAAAAGAAATGAAAATTTCTTTCTTGGTACCATCCAACTGTTTAGTCAATAATTAAACGAATAGGAAAGCATATTAGCAAGTATTGTAAACTTAATATTTTTAATAAAAACTACTTTAATTCCAAAATGTATATTCACAAGGAATCAAATAACTTGCATTTTAAAAACCAAATATAAGTTCTGCTACCAACAATAAGTAGGTTCTTTGACTTGTGAGTGAGGAGCGTCGCTGGTAATATTTGTGTTACGAATAATACTGACCAAATAACATATGAAGATGTTTCAATGCTAAATTATCAATGAGCCTAAATATGTTTATCTTATCAATATATCGCTTTATATACGGATATGGAAATAACATGCATAATACGTTAGCACTATTTTGTTATCATATTATGACTTAAAAATCATAATTCCTAAAATTTTGTATGCATCGACCACGATTACTTCCTGTTTCCGTTTAACGCGATAATATTAAACTTCTTTCATTCTATACAACTTAAGAAACGAAACACATTTATTGCGCTTCCTTTTGGTTTCAGGGAAAACCTTTAAAATAATAAATAAAAATCCTTTATTGACCAAAAAACATTTTCACAAAAAATTTTTGGGCTCTGTCTCCTGAACTAGTAAATACTGTGTTTCAGGAGACAGCACCTTCTCTTATCTATTGCCTAAAGTTTATATATAATAGATACTTAACATATATGTAATTAGATATAGATTATTATTATTTAGATACAAATATAAATACTAGATATATAGTGTGCGATAGTGTGTGTTTGTGCATGTGCGCTTGTGTCTTAGGTATGTATTGTTTTGTTTGTGGTTTTTACTACTTTTCTCCGAATTATTATTTATATTGTTTATGTTATGTATTTATTCTGTCATGTTTACTGTCATGTTATTTTTAAAAGTTTCTCAGTACAATCGTAGAATATACTTTGAAAAGTCAATCTTCCTTGGAGAAACGAGAGCCAACTAAGAAAAAAGTGACGGCTAACATAACTGACTTGTTTTGTTACTTAATTTAAGGTTTGGAGAAAATACATGTGAAGGAAAGGGAAAATGCAAATATTGAAATCCATAACCCAAGTGAAGTTTCAAGTTACACACAAGACTGGTCGTTTCATAGACGATTTTTCTAAAAACAAAAGATTTATCATTATTGTCTTCAAAAACATGTGCCAATAACCCGATTTTAGGGTTAACTACGATAACCGATTTCGGGGAAAAAATTCGCTAGAATCACTACAAATGTTTCCTATGAATATTAAAATAAACACAACAAACTTGTTTAAGAATGGTCAACAAATATCCTTAAAAAAACGTGTCGTAAAGACGTCATAGAGAAACCAACTAACGGCAAATATATAAAAAAAAGTTTATTTATAGTCGTCATCTGTCCATCTAGAAGGAAAGCGCACAATTCTGCTTCCCACTACACTACGCTTATTTATGACTAGACATATTTACAGTAGGAAATATATCCAAAAGTTGTATGAAAACTGCTATCTTACTAATATTATAAATGCGAAAGTTTAGATGGATGGACGGATGTTTCTTTGAAGGTGTCAGGGATCAACGGATCTATGAAATTTGACATGGAGGTAGAATATAATCAGGAAGAACACAAATTTACTAATTAAGGTTTTTTAATTCCACGCGGACAGAATCACGGGCGACAACTATTTAAATATAGGAGAAAATTATGAAAATTTACAGCGATTCCTGCTTAACGTTTTATCAAGTTTGAAATGGATATGAAAATATTTTTTTATTAATTTATAATTTTAACGACAACAATGGATTCAAAGGTGATTTTTAGTCGATTCATTTGCAATACGTAAAATTGAATGAAAAAAGCTTTTAGAATGGTCTTATTCGTAAAACATAGCGCTTACGGAATACTAGCAGAGTGATTCATTTATCCGTAAATATATTATGAGCCGCTTAATACTTTGGACTAATACTATTTATTTTAAACTCCGACGATGAAGATATCTTACAAATTTTACAGCTTCTTTCTAAATACTACCTTACTTTCTTACTTGTATAAAAGCTTTTATTAATCAAATAAATTATCTTTTCATTGGCCATACGATATTCTCTCGTAATATAACCAAAACCAAGGCATCGTTTACTTGAGGTATTTCTATGTTACCCGACGATCCTGAACTTACAAAGACGTTCAACGTTTCAAATATTTCCCTAGAGGGACAAGTACGAGAATTTAGACAAGCTTTAGAAACAATTTCGCTAATATTTAGTGTACCTAAAATTAGTTTAAACATTTATAAGGATTACAACTAACAAAGAAGAAGAAAAAAATGTGATAAACAAGGGTGTATTCTTCTATATCTGTGCGAAATTTCAATAAGATTTGTTGAACCGGTACAAAGTTATCGAGTAAATACGTAAATAAAACGTATGGAATACTGTACACATTCCCGGGATCAAAGGTAGACTACGTGTTCTTTCGAATTATGTTCTATGTCTACACCAAATTTCATCGAGATTCGTACATCAAGAGCCGTACTGGATATAACTTCTAACAAACATCTATCGTAATGCAAACATTCGTATAGGAACGAACCATACTTTAATAATTTAATCATGCTTGATATGATTGCACTTATCATATAAAATCGGACAAAGATTTCTTATCTACATTTACACTAACATGACAATAAAGAACATTGCAACATAAATATTTGAAATTTCCATAAACTCCTCTCCTTTACCGTGTATTTAATTTATATCTATTTTTAACGAGAATAACTCATTATAAGTATTCAGAGATTAATGGTCTCTATAATTAGCTATACAGAAAATGATTGTGGATTTAAACGATGATTCCGGTAATTATTATAAGAATTGACCGAAGTACGTGATGGAAACTTATGGTCGGGGTTATACTCGGCCCCCTTGAGATTGTGACGTAGAGATCTTATCTTTTTCCATCGATATAACGATGACTCAGTTAATAACTTATTACAATCGGATGTTGCCAGACCGTATTAGGTATTATGAATATGCATATATTAAAGTTTTTCTCTTAATATAATATTTAATATTAACAGTAACGTAGGCTTATGTATTATTTTTTCACCAATTGAGGTGAAAGTTAAGAAATAAATGAATTAAAATGTTAAAAATTCTTAACCACATATATTTTTTGCAAATTATTTAACCAGTGGTTAATTAGACTAAACTGATATATAAACACGGCTAAACGCTCACGTATATTCGTCCGGTGGCTGCATCGACTAGTGTCGAGCCCATCGGGGGCCCTTCTTCGCTCACTGAGCCACGGCCCGCGTCCGCGAAATAATACCAGTACCACTCATCCTGATGAGGGCCACCGATGGGCTCGAAACTAGTCGGTGCCG